GCTGCGGCACCAGGACAGGATGGGGGCTGGGGGAGTCACGGCACTGGGACAGGGCTGGAGGCTCAGGGGGCTGCGGTGCCAGGGTGGGCTGGGGGCTCGGGGGGGTGATGGCAGGGGCTGCCCCCGCCCCGGGTCTCTGCCCGCAGGAGCAGAGCACTATGGCGTGGGGACGGGGGCGTGGGGAGGGCCTGGGACGCGCGTGGCCGTCCCCGAGGGTGACACCGACACCACCACGAGGTCCTTCCCTCCCACGAGGACCGACGGGGGCCGGTGCCGGTGCCGCCGGTTGTGCTGTGAGTGTGGGGGGTGCGGGCGGTCCGGGGGTCCTGCCGTGCCCCGCGTGTCCCTCGGCTCGGGGGGACGCCCCATCTTCACCCCCAGCCCCGGGGCGAGCGCAGGCGTCCCCGCACAGTCACAGTGATGGCACACGGAGGACGAGGGGACGGTCCCGCTGCGATGCCACTGCCACGTCCGGCCGTGGGGGGGGAGAAGGGGGGTCCGGAGGAGGGGGCACGGGCCAGTCCGGGGCTCTCTACATGATGCTGCACTTCCCCTTGATTTTGTCTGTCCTCTTCTGCTTGCTGGAGCGCTTCCCGTCGATGGTGAGGCTCACGTTCCTCCTCTTCTCCAGGTTCAGCAGCTCCTGGAAGAGCTCCTTGACGTTGTAGTTCATCTTGGCCGAGGTCTCCATGAAGGCGCATTTCCACTCCTTGGCCATGGCCTCCCCCTCCCTGCTCTCCACCTCCCGCTGCGTCTCGTCGCACTTGTTGCCCACCAGCATGATGGGGATGCTCTCCACGCTGCCCTTGATCTGCACGATCTGCTGGTAGATGGGCTTCAGCTCCTCCAGCGACTGCTTGCTGGTGACGGAGAAGACGAGGATGAAGGCATGGCCCTTGGAGATGGAGAGGCGCTGCATGGCCGGGAACTGGTGGCTGCCGGTGGTGTCGGTGATCTGCAGGGTGCACACGCTCTTGTCGCAGCTGATCACCTGGCGGTAGGTGTCCTCGATGGTGGGGATGTAGGTGTCTCGGAAGGTCCCCTTCACGAAGCGCAGCACCAGCGAGCTCTTGCCGACGCCGCCGGCGCCGAAAACCACCACGCGGTAGTCGTTGCTCTGCTCCGGCATCTTGGCCCGGAGGTGCTACCGCCGCTGCGGGGGGACAGGGGGGCGTCATGCCGGGAGCACGGGGGGGTTCGGGATGGACCCCCCCTAAAAGTAGTGGAGAGCCCCCCTTGAGGTGCAGCTCCAGGCGGGGTTGGACCCCGCCATGCCCTTGGGACGCCCTTGCCGCCCGGGCCGGGGTGCGGCTGCCTTGGCTATTTTTACCCGGTGCCCGCTGTGGCCATATGGCCGAGCACGGCCACCGGCACCGTGGCTGTGGCTGAGGCCGGCAGGGCAGCAGGCTGGGGGGGCTGTGCCGGGCAGGGACCCCCAGAGCCCCCCCGGGCAGCAGGAGCTGGGGCAGCTGCTGGGACGTGGTGACACCTGGAGTGCCCACCGGGGCTCTCGGGCCCTGCCCCAGGTACAGAGGTGCCATTTCCCACACAGGCCACGCTGCCAACTGTCCTGTCAGCCCCTGTCACCCTGCACTGTGCCCTGTCACCCCCTGCCACCCTGTCCTGCCATGTGCCCTGTCACCCCCTGCCACCCTGTCCTGCCCCGTGCCACCTGTGTCATCCCTCTGCTCCGCTCCCAGCCCGGGGATGTGTCAGGGAGCAGAGGGATGTGGGCACCGGGCAGAGCGTGGCACAGGGGTGGGCTGTGGGCTGGTGACCTGCAGGCTCAGAGACCCCCGTGGCCACCCTTACGCTGCCAAACCTCGGTGCCCGCTCTCAGGGACAGGGTCCCCAGGCCTGGGCAGGGTCCCCAGTGCTCCCCCGAGTGGCGCAGCCCTGGGGTGTGAAATGAGGGGGCACAAAGAGCCGCTGATGCTGAGCCCTGGGCTGGCCCTGCCTCGGTGTCCCCAGGGCAGCACAGGAGTGGCAGCACCACCTCTGCCCCATGAGGGTACCCAGGGGCTGCTGCATTCCCACCCCATGGCACCAGGGGTCCGGATCCCACAGAGGAGCCCCAATACTCTGGCACATCCCCAAACCCCAGAACTGGTGAGGTTGGGAGCTGGAGAAGGAGCCCATCCCCGTGGCCTCGGGCACCCAAGGAGCTCAACCCACTGTGGGCTCCTCGGATCCCACCACGCTGGAAGCGTCACCAGCACACGGGGCTGGGGATGGAGCGGGGGCCAGGGCTGAGCTGGCACGTGGGAACGTCCAACCTCAGCCAGGGCTGGACAAGGTCCTGCCCATCCCACCTGAGCATCACACCTGTCCCTTCCCACCTGTCCCATCCCACCTGAGTGTCACACCTGTCCCTTCCCACCTGTCCCTTCCCATCTGTCCCTTCCCACCTGTCCTGTCCCCCCTGCCCCAGGCACAGTTGAAATCCCCCCTGGCCTCGCAGCCATGGTGGGGGGCACTAGGGTGAGGGGCTGGGCTGGATGGACCTTCCAGGAACCTGAGGGGGCCCTTTGGGGTCACCCCCTGGCCTGTGCCCAGCTGTGCCCCAACCCCAACCAGCCCTTGGTGCCTGAGGGTCCGGAGCACGGCCCCCACTCAGCTCCTGGGCACGGGACCACCTGCCAGCCTGGGCCGGATCCTGCCGGGGGGCTCTGCTCCCCCCAGCACCCCCCAGTACCCTCCCACTTGGGCCCCCAGCACTGGGGGTGACAAACAGCTGGTGGAGGGGCTGGGGGTCGTGATGGAGGGCAGGGGCAGAGCAGGGGTGAAGGAGCAGGATGGAGACAGAGACTGGGAAGGGGCAGGGCAGGATGGAGGGATGAAGGGGCAGGAGAAGGAGCTGGATTGGAGGGGCAGAAGAAGAGCAGGATGGATGAGCATCCCGCTCAGGATGGAGATGGAGAGACAGGGGAAGAGCAAGGATGGAGGTGGAGAGGCAGGAGAAGGGGCTGGGCGTAGGGGCAGGATGGAGATGGAGGAGCAGGGAGAAGGGCAGGATGGAGATGGAGAGGCAGGAGAAGGGGCAGGATGGACGAGCATCCCGCTCAGGATGGAGATGGAGGAGCAGGAGCCGCGGCTGGAGGGGTTGGCGGGGCAGGGTCTCGGGTCCCACCGCCCCACTCCCCGCCCGTGCCGGGGGCAGCCCCGGTCCCCCGCCGGCCGCGCTCCCCCGGCCCCCGCCGCGCCGGTCGCATTGCGGTGCCGCCGCCGCCGCCTCACCGTGTCCTGCCCGGGATCCGCCCTTGGCTGCGGGCGGCGCGGCGGCCTCAGCGCATGGCCCGGCCCGGGGCGGCCCCGGCGAGGCGGCTCCGCTCCGCCCGGCTCGGCTCGGCGGGGCTCGCTGCGGCGGCGCTGGGGCCGGTGCGGCGGGGCCGGCTCGGCTCGGCTCGGTTTAGCTCGGCTCGGCTCGGCTCGGTGCGGTGCGGCCGCCGCAGAGCCGATCCCGCCCCGCCGCCGGCCTCCGCCCGCCGCGCCCGCCCCGCCTAGGGCCCTGGACCCTCGGGCCCGGCCCCGAACGGCTCCGGGACACGGCGGGACGGGGATGGGGACAGAGGGACGGGGATGCACGGACAGGGATGGGCACAGACCGACAGGGATGGGCACAGACCGACAGGGATGGGCACAGACCGACAGGGATGGGCACAGACCGACAGGGATGGGCACAGACCGACAGGGACAAACAGATGGGGATACACGGGATGGAAACGCACAGGCACGGACACGCGGACAGGGATGGGGACAGACAGACAAGAACACACGGGATCGGGACACACAGACAGGGACACACAGATGGTGACACATGGCAAGGGATGGGGACGGACAGACAGGCAGGGATACACAGGGATGGGGTCCCACAAACAGGGACACACAGACGGGGACACGTGGAGAGATGGGGACATGTGGGGATGGGGACAGAGGGATGCACAGACACACGGACAGAGATTCCTGGGGATGGGGACACACAGACAGGAACCACACACGGACACAGGTCACAAGGACCCACACAAGGAGCAACAGCCCAGGCACTCGTGGGCAGGTGGTGACAGGGGACACAGGGACAGGACAGGCAGATGCCAACACCACAACCTGGCAGAGGGTGCCGTGAGCCCCTGGGGTATTTGGGAGTGTCTTGGGCAGTGGGGTTGGGCCTTGGGGACACAGAGGCCACAGTGCCACTCCAGTGCAGGACCAGGAGCCTTTGTCACCATCTGGTGTTATCTCCCCATGGCAGAGCCCCAAAACCCCAGAGGGGCCCTTGTGGTGTTGTGGGACCCCCAAGTGCTGGCTAAGACCCCCCACCCCATGTCTGAGAGGGACCAGAACGGCCCAAGGGTGACTGTCCCCAGCTCTCTGCACTGTCACGGGGTGGGCGGAGGTGACTGGTGGCCTTGGGGGTCACAAGGTGTTTGTCACAGCCAGGGTCTGCCAGGGCCGGGCCAGGGGGGCTCCTGCTTCCCCCCCTTCCTGAGCAGCAGCAATTAAAATCCGCAGCTGCTATTAATAGCAGGCAGCAGGCACTGGGCACGGCAGCACCCACGCACTGGCACCACATCCCAGCGGGAACAGGGGGTGCCGACGGGGACCCCGGCCCTGCCCAAGAGGTGACAAGGCCTGGGGGGGGGGGGCAGCTGCGGCCCCCCCACCAATCCCCCCGCAGCGCCCGGGCCGGCGGAGGCTCCTCGTTCGAGGGAATGAATGAGCTCCCTGGATGGTTCTGCTGCGGCTCCTCCTCGTTCCATTGAGCCCCCGCTCCCCGCCGGGCCTGACGCAGCGGGGCGGCTGCTCACGCAGGGCTGAATCACGGCCCTGCCGGCCGGGGGGTGCTGGGGGGTCCTGGCCCCTCTCTGAGCTCAGCAGGGCTCGGGGGGTCCGCACAGGGGGGGTTTGGCTGCTGAGAGGGGCGGGGGGGCACGTGCAGGTGCCGCGTGAGCCGGACGTGGAGCAGCCACGGGGGACACCAAATAACCGAGTGACAGCGAGGGGAGAAGGGCAGGGAGTTTATTGGGAGCCTCCTCCGCTCCGACACCCACCCTGGAGCACGGGATGGTACCGTGGATAAGCCCCCCCCGGGGCAGCAGGATGAGGAGGGGGGAGCTCAGCACCTCCTTGCACTTCACAGCCCCCCCAGGGCAGCCCCGATCCCGAACTCCAGCAGGAGGAGGGTGTGAAAGGCAGGGCACGGCACAAAAAGGGACACTCAGCCTGGTGCCACCTCGCCCCCCCCAGCACAGAGAACCCCCCCTCGTGGTTCGATGTCACCCCCCAGGAGAGGTGAGACAGCCCCGAGGCTTTACCACGCCGAGGCAAATCACGTTCCCCTCATCCTGCTCGTTTGTGTCATCCCAGGCCCAAAATAACCTCCCTCCGCCCCCCCCTCCACTCCAGGTTTTCAAAGGAAGATTAATTGACTCGGGGATGTTGCAGCAATTAAACTAACGAGCCCCAGGATCTGTCAGATGATGCTCAGCTGCCTCCATATGCTGCAGCTGGGCCACCGCGGCGGCTCCGAGCCTCCCTCCTGCTGCCGGCACTGCGCCATCCCTGCGATTCCATCAGCGCTTCCAGGAGCCCGGCGGAAGCTGCTGCGGGAGCGGCGGCTCCGGGTAATTAAAATGCAGCCCCTGCCTGAGCCCCGCTGTGCCACACAGCTCGTTCCCAGCTCCAGCCTCTGATCCCAGCTCCTCACCCCGGAGAGCACATCCAAAGGGACCAGCGGCGCACGGAGCGTCCCCGGGGCCCTGCTCTGCAGCCACGGAGATCTGCTTGTGTCTCTCAGCAGCCCTTCCACCAGCTCACTTCCCCCCCTCCCAGGGAAGAGATTCCATTCCTCTGGAAGCTTGGAAAAGCCTGGGAGCAGCCCCTGCTCCGACTGCTCAGCCCCTCTCACTGCAGAGCTCTGAGAACACAAGTGCTTTCCCTGAAATATTAATGCTGGAAATTGTTACTGCCCCTTTCTTGCAAGCTCCTGCATCCCGGGCCCTGGGAGTGCCAGGGAATGGACAGGGATAATGCAAGGATTTGCTCCATCCCTGGAATCGTCCAAGGCTTGGAGCGACCCAGTCTGGTGGAAGGTGTCCCTGCCCCTGGCAGGGGGTGGGGTGGGATGAGCTTTAAGTTCCCTTCCAAGCCAAACCATCCCGGGATTCATCCTACGATTTCCAAACACTCCGTCAGCACACTGCTAAAACCTAAGGAGGTTTTTCCTTAGGGAAAGCTCAGCATATGGATGAGATGCAGAGAAGGAAGGAGGGCAGGGGGGCCCGGCCTCGTTTCTCCGTCAATCCCCAGGAAAGCCGCGCTCCCCGAGCCCCGGGGGGCTGCACTGGGAGCTGTGCTGGAGGGAGCAGCACCCCGGGAATGCTGGAGCCCTACAGGGCTGTTATTTTTGGCAGCTCTTACAACCAGGTTTTGCTCCAAACTAAGCCAGCCAAAGCAGCTTAGCCCAGCAATCCCTGCTCCCACCTGCTCCGGTCCTGTTTCTCACCTCCTCGGAGCCTCTGGACCAGGCTCCCGGCTCGTTCCGGAGGGTGGGCGAGGGGCAGGAGGGAGAGGGGCATTGTGGAGGTTGCAGGAAGCCACACACACTCGAGGAGCTCTCGGAAGCAGCCTTTAACCAGGTCCTTAACGTTTGTGCCAGCTGATCTCCAGGGACACTCCCTCGGGACGTTCCTCATCATCTCCCTCTGAGCACGTGGGAAGAAATCCTCCTCCTGCAGGTAACCTCGGGAGGGCCCCCTGTGCCGGGCTGTCCCCCCTGCCCGCGGTGCTCTGGCGTCCCTGCGGCGGGAGGGCAGGCTGGTCCCGGCGAGCTCGGCGTGCCGAGGCTCCCGGCTCACCACGGGATGAGCACCAGCCCGGCCAGCAGGGCATAGCCCAGCACCAGGCACAGCACCTTGAGCAGCCGCTGGCTCTTGTCCTCCAGCTCCCTGGCCAGGATCTCGAAGAAGGTGACGAAGAGGAAGGTGCCGCCGGCCATGCCCTGCAGGAGCAGGGACACGACGTCGCCGGCGGCGCCGCGGGCGCTCTGGATGCCCATCCCGACGCCGATTCCCAGCGGGATCATGAGGCACACGGCCAGGGCCAGCTTGGCCGCGTCCCGGAGCGGCAGCGCGGCCCTGGCCATGCTGATGCCCAGCGCCACGGCCACCAGCGTCTCGTGGATGGCCACGCCCAGGAACAGGCTGACGACTTTGCCGCCGTCCTCCTGCAGCCCCAGGGCCAGCCCCTCGAAGATGGAGTGCGTGCACAGGGCGAAGACCAGCCCCAGCAGGCGCAGGGGGCTGGAGCGGGACAGCTCGGGCAGGCTGAGGTGCGGGGGGTGCCCCCCGTGCTCCCCGTACAGGGCCCGGCCCCGGGGCGAGGCGATGAAGGGGCTCTCGTACTCCGAGTCACTGCCGCCGTCCGAGCCCGCGTTGAAGGTCTCCAGGTCGATGAAGGAGGGCTTCTCCTTCTGGCAGCTCAGGACCAGCTGCTCCACGAAGACCGTGACGAAGAAGCCGACCATGACGATGGTCTCGGCCACGGGGTAGTCCGTGGTCACGTTCCCCTGCTTGAGGACTTCATCCAGCTGGGGGGAGGCAAAGGATCCGCAGTGAATCCCTCCCTCCCAGGGGGAACATTCCCGCTGTGCTCCCACAGCCCCACGGGGGTGCTGGACCGACCCAGGGCGCTCCAACACCCTTGGACACCCTGCCACGAGACAGGGGATCCTTCTGCCTTCCAGACACACATCGAGCTGGGTTCCTCACACCCCAAAAATGCCCCAAAGCCCCAGTGACCCCATGGGGGCAGCCAGCAGGAGGGCAGGGAGGTGGGCACAGCTCACCCTCACCATATGAGGGCACAGAGGTTTGAGGGGGCTCCACGTCCAGCTGGACACGGACCCCTCCTCACCCCCACTCCCTGGAGGGCTGGGACCCTGCAGGGCATGGCCAGCACTCACCTTGCCCCTCACAGCTGGCAGCAGGGCGTTGAAGCAGGTGGCCAGGAAGACGCCTCCTCCAAAGGAATTCCAGAGGGCCAGGACCTTCCTGGAGCGCTGGGCCTTCTCGTGGTCGGCCTGGATGAGCCTCACGGGCAGCAGGGCCCCCGCCAGCACCAGCACACAGATGCCCAGCAGGCACAGCACCTTGGCCACCACGATCCTCATCCTGGGGGGGGGCTCAGGGCGGGGACATGAGCACGGACACACCCCCAGGGACAGCTGCTCCCGGGGTCAGCACCTGTGGGAGGGGGGGAAAAACAGGGAGTTTGCCTTTATGATCCCATGGGAACCACCAGGGAAAAGCGTGACTGCAGTAAGAAAGCAACCTGGAAGCGCTGCTGAATTAACAATCCCTGGTTGGGGCCACCCCAAAACAGCCAAGCTTTTAAAAGGTTTTATCTGGAACGGCCACCCTGTGACAGGGAAACGCCCCAGCTGTGCTGTGGGATCCGGCTGAGCCCAGCCAGCGGGTCAGCTCCCGGGTTTTAACCACGAGGAAAGAAATCCACACCTCTGGCTGCCTCCCAGAAACCCCCCAACCTCAGGGTTTTCCCTCTCTTTCCCGTTTTTAACCCAAACCAGCCCCTGCCAGAGCCTCAAACTCCTGAGTGCAGCTGCAGCCGGTGTCCCTGAGCGGGGCTGGAAGCATTCCAGAGGGGAAGGAATCCCCAGGAATACCTGGTGGCTCTCCTGAGCTGCTCCTGCAGCAGCAGCACCGACACCCAGGCTGTGGCACCAGCCTGGAAGGAAGGATTAGCTCAGGTAGTGCTCGGATTAGCGGCACAGAATGAAGCATCCAAGCGACGAAAAGTATCCTGCAAAGCAGGCGGGGCCCTGTGGGAGGGAGAGCAAAGGGTGTACTGATCCGTGAACCCCTAAATCCCAGGTTTTCTGCTGAAAACAGGACGCCTTCCCCACTGCCACGCTTGTCCCGGCACTTCCAAGCCCTGAAACCCCTTGAGGTCGCCTCACAAGGGGTTGGGGTCCACCCAAGCCCCCTCAAGGCGAGGAGGGGCCGGGCCCCAGCCCCTCACGCAGGCCCGGGATCCCTCCTGAACCCCTCACACGGGGAGGGGGGCCCTGTCCCCCGCCCCCCCGGCTCCCCAGCCCCGCTGTGACCCCCCGTGTCCCCTCCCGGCCCCTCCATCCCCTCGGGACGCCCCCCGGGCCCCCCTCGCTCCCCGTTGCCCCGGTAACCGCCCCCCCCCTCACTCACGGCCGGTCCCGCCGCTGCCCGGCCCGGCCGCCCCGCTCGCGCCCGCCCACGGCGCGCTCCCATTGGCTGCCGCCGGAGAGCCGCCCGCTGATTGGCCGCGCGAGCCGCCCGTCAAACCCGCCGGGGCGCGGCCGGGATTGAGCTCCGCGGAAACGCGACCCCCGTGACCGCGCGTTCCGGGGCAGCGGCGGGGCCGCAGCGCTATCCCGGGATGAGCGGGAGCGGCGGGAACCGGGAGAGCCGGGAATGGGAAAAAAAACCCCTGGCACAGCGCCCTCCACCCGCCCGCCCCTGCTCTTACAGCCTTCCAGCGGCTTGCGGTTAGAGCGCACAAACTGCACCCCCCCTGTGAGAGCTGAAGTGAACCTAAAAAATCCCATAAAATTCCATTATTTTCGCCGTCGGCTCCCAGAGGAGCTGGGGAACGTGGGAGTCTGGCAGGAAAAGTTGAAAAGCAGGCATCAAGGACCGGCCACAGCCCTGCAGGGCAGGAGCAATTCCCCCTGGAAAGCTGCACATGGAGTTCAGAGGTGTGAGAAGAAAACCAAGAGAGGCGGAGAAAGAGAAGAGAACAAGTTACAAAAGGACAAGGAGGGCAAGGGAAGGGAACAGTTGCACTGAAATGAGCAGAAAACAGGGAGGGGGGAACCGCCCGTGGTTTCTTCTTTTTGGATAATTCTGGTACATTTTCTTCCCGTGCTGTGCTGGAGTGTAAAAAACCCCTTTTGTCGGGCTGCAAAGAGCAGCTGGAGAGAAAGATTTCCTATTTCTGTGCTGCAGAAACACACGGGAGGAGAGTTCCAGCAGGGAAGAAGGGCACAAGATGTGCCCCAGCCCTGGGGGGGCAGAGCCCTGACCCCACCGAAGCCTCATGGGAGGGGACCCCTTGAGCCACCCGGGCACGAGGGAGAACAACGAAAAGTGTCCAAATGGTTTATTCCTCACAAGTGACATGAACCACAGTAACTTCATGGAGCATTTACAGGTCAGCTTTGCCACGATATTCATCCCCCACCGTCCCTGCTCACTCCTGCAGGGCTCCCCAGGGCCTCGCCCCCCTCCCGCCTTCCCCTCCCTGCCCCGGCCCCACTGCTCCCCAAAATCTGCTTTCAGACCGAGCCTGAGCGGATAGAAAAGTCTCTGGCCTCGGTAAGGGACTTCTGGGGAGCTTTGGGCTCGCCCAAGGTGGGGCCTGAGGCGGCTCCGGGGGCTTCTCCCTCCCCAGGTTGAACCAGCAGCCACCTGATTCCTTGATCCAAACATTTTATTCCCTCTGCTCTACCCTGGCCCCCTCTATCCCTACACGAGCACACTCAGCCAGGTTGTTACTTACATGCAGAAAAGATTTAAAAAAAAAAAAAACAAAACCTAAAAAAACCAAGAAAAACTCCTTTTAAACACGAAAAACACCTTTAAGCTCCCTCACCGTCCGAGCCGACCCCGATCGCTCCCGCACAGCCAGAATCCCTAAAGCTCTGTCAGGACTGAACCCCGAGAAGTGCACGAGGGGGAGCACGTGGGGATGTTCTGCCTGTCCAGTCCAACGTTTACCTGGGAGAGGGGAGCACCAAACTCCCGGGATAACGACGCTGGCAGAGCCGCCCCAGCCCCGACCCGGGACTGCAGCCCTGCTACTGAACCAAAATCCCGGGGGCCACGAGATCCCAGCATCTCCAGAGAGGTCCCAGCGTTGTCTCACGAGCGGCAGGACTGGGTTAGGAGGGGCTTCAACGCTCCTTGGAAGTGGCCCCGGGGCAGGAGAGCCGAGGAGTCCTGGAGTGACGGGGGCTTCGGTCTTCAAAAAGGGGTTAAAAAAAAAATCCCCAAGGGAGCAAATCCCACGGAACTGCATCCATGTGGGTCCCCCAGTTCTGTCAGAAAGCCTCGATGCTGGTCTGTGTTCAGCCTGCTGGGTCTTCCAGGAGGAAAAGGACGAATGGGAAGGGTGAGAGGGAGGAGCAGGGCCGAGGACTGGGGGCAGAGAGTGAGTCTGTCTTCAACATGCAGGTCAGAGAAAGGGGTTTTGGGGTTTGGTTTTTTTTTTTCCATTATTTTTCCCCCTCTTCTTGGACACTTCCAACTCAAGAAATGGCAACACGCACATGGCTTCCAGTTTTTAAAGCAAACACCAAAGTTCCCCCGGGCTGTGCTGTGGAGAGAGGGAGAGAAGAGAAGGGGAAATTCAACCTGGGAGGAAAGGAAGTTTAGCCATTTTAATAAAGTTTGATTTAAAAAAAAAAACAACAGAAAACTCCTTCAGTAAAAAATCACAAACTTCTCTAGTGAAAAAACCCCACTCCTTTCATAAAAAAAAAAACAAAACCAAAACCCATTCATTTAGTAAAAAAACTTTATAAAAATTAAAGTGGAACCATTTGGGTTTTTAAGCATGGAGCCCAGACTGGTCTGTGAGTCCCCGGGGTGTGAGAAGGTGTGGAGACCTCTCTGGGCTCGGCCCTGCAGAGCCCCAGAGAGGCACCAAAGGCTCAGTTAAAGCACAAAGCATATTAGAAGTCAGTTGAATTCAACCCCCAGCCAGCTGGCCCAGCATTCCTGGCTGGAATCTCACCTGGAGAGCTCATTCCTGCTGGTCCTCGTTGCTGGCACTGGGAGTTCGACTCCTGATCTGGCTCCGGAGCTGCTCTATTAGTTCAGGGTTCTGCTGCTGCATCTGCTGGGCAAACTGCTGGCCCCTGAGGGACAGGGGACATGGGGGGACACGGGTGGGACCAGAGCTCTCACCCCCCCAGCACAGCCAGGGGCTGGGAACGCTCCCCAGCCCATTGTCACAACCCCAACCAGCAGCTCCCAAAACCCCCGGGAACGCCGGAGAACCCAACACCGAAACCTCCCCCAGGCCTTGAATCAAGGTCTGCTCAGGACCCCAAAACACCACTCAGCCAGCAGTTCCCACCACCCAAAGAGCCACAGCCTCTCCCAGCATCTTAAACCTCCCCCAGGGGTTCTGTTCCAGGTTCTGGGCACCCCCAAGCCCCCATCCCCAGGCCCTGGAGCTCCACTCACGCCTGGATCAGGCTGGCGAGGTCGTTGGTGGAGGGGCTGGTGCCCGTGGCTCCCATGGTGTTGTGGCCACCTGAAATCATCCCAGACATGCTGTGGGGGAGAAGAGTCAGAGCAGGAGAAAGAAAAAAAAAAAAACAAACCAAAATTAATTGGTTTATGTCGGAGCACAAAAGGAACAGGATCCCCTTCCCATCCCGTGGATTAGGGATTATCTGCAAGGGAATCCCCTGCCAACAACTTTTCATTCCTCAGCTGCAGAAGAGGAACATTAAGCTGCACAATAAGTAAAAATGCTCCTAAAGGTGTCAGTTCCTGTGTTCCCAGGTTCCCCCTTCTGTGTGCAAGCCCTGTGTTACGTTCATGGAATTAAAACACTGCCCTTCCTCACACCAGCTCTCCTCTGGCTCTGCATCCAAGACTCACCCAAAACACCCCAGCTTAGGGGACGGGGTTGGGTTGAAGGCTCCCCCCACATTCCTGCCCCCAATTCCCTCCTGCTCCCACCAGCCCAGACCTGCAGCAAACGCCAAACACACCCAGAGAGAGCCTCAAATGAGCCATTCCAAGAGGAAATACAAGCAGGATCCAACTTACAGCTGTTGTACTTGTGGGTTGTTCATCAGATTCGACGCCTGTTTCGAGAGAGGAGAAAGAACAACCCCCAGTTTAGTCAGAGACTGGGGAGCTGTGCAGATGTTGTGCCTTTCAACCCCAAAGAGAAGGCAGAAAGGCTTTGAAAGGGAGCAAAAGGACTGAAACAGCACAGGGAGGAGCAGGGCACAACACCAGAACAGGTCCTAATGCACAACAGGCCCTCCCACAGTGAGTAAATCCCTGGCTTTTCATCTGAGCTTTAATGAAACACCAGCAGCTTCCCCAGAGCAGCACTGGAACCAGGGAGAGCAGGCTCATCTGAGGAGGCACTGGGGCCACATCCTGAGGGAATATGTGCCCAGCAGCCCTGCTGGGACCTGTGCCTGGGCTTACCATGCTCATGAAGCCGGGGTTGTTCAGCAGCCCAGCCAAGTCGAATCCTCCCGGGCCTCCGGTCTGCAACAGAGAAACCACGGGCTGCTGGTGACAGCCCTCACTTCCAAACCTCATTCCCGGAGTTTGGGAATGCCAGGATCACATCATGGGACCCCAGAATGGTTTGGGCTGAAAGGACCTGAAGGATCACCCAGTCCCACCCCCCTGGGACATCTTTCCATTCTTCACCCCCTCTGAGACCCAGCTCCCAAATTAAACACCTCCCTCCCCCACCCCTGCACTGGAAATGCCTTTGGAAAGTTAAAATCCCTTCCAAAATAATCAGCTAACACAGTCCTGCCTGGAGCAGGTCAGCAGTGCAGCCAGCAGCTCCCTGGCTGGGAAACCTCCAGGTTTCTTTTCAAGAAAACCACCTCTGCAAGAAAAAAAGCCCCCAAAAATCCCTTTTCGTGCTGCTAACAGGTCACTGGGAAAATAAAGGAGCTGGATTTAGCAGCGATTTAATTAAAAAAGGTGCTTAAGGCAAAAATGCTGTTTTAAAACCCTCCCCAGTCTCATTTTCCAGCTGTTTCAAACAAGCCCAAGGTGACTGTTTCCCCTCTCTGGGTTCCAGTGCAATGTTCCCAGCAGGATCATTGACTGTCTGCCCCCCAAATATGCCATTTTAAACCCCACCCCAGCTCACCAGGGCCCTGCAAACAGCACCTGTGGGGTGAGGAAACCTCCCCCTAAAACCTGAACTGACGAATCAACTGCGCAGCTCACCGGACTGGGAGTCTCCTTCATCTTCTGCTCAGCTATTTTAAGGTTTGATTTGTAGGTGTCGTTGTCTGGGTCCAGCTCCAGAGCCTTTTTGTAGTACACGACGGCTTCTGTGTGTTTGTTCAGGCTGGACAGGGCCAGGCTGGGGAGGAACAGCAAACCCCACTCAGATAAAGCCCTCCCAGCCTGGCCAGAGCTGGAAGAGCAGGGATCTCCCCGTGGCACTGCAGGGCAGAGCACACAGGCGGCCCTGCTGCCACTCACCCCATCCTGCCGTAGGCTTTGCTGTAGCTGGGGTCGATGCCGATGGCCCGTTCACAGTCCCTCACTGCTCCTGCATAATTCCCAAGCTTGCTGTAGGCAGCAGCTCTGGAGGGCAGGGAGAAGGGGCAGGGAGATCTGAGCAGCTGGAATAGGCTGAGGGAAGCTCCCCTGCCCCCTCTCTGCTGTACAGGGGGCAGTGGGGGGTGAGGCTGGCACCGTCCCAGCCCCATCCAGGAGGGCCATCCTGACCCCAGGATCCCAAACCCAGGCTGGGACTCCTCCTGAGGACATTCCCACAGGAGGCTCCAGGGAGATACATGAGGATCTCCTGCCAACTCAACCAGAAACCTGGTTCTCCCTTGTCCCTCAGTTTCTCAGACACAACAGCCATTCCCATCCACTTCCCCACATCCCACGCAGAGGGAAAAGTGCTTTTAAAGCCACCACACGCTCAGCAAAGCCTGGACCCCCCAGCTCTGAGAGGGGCACCCGCCCAGAACCTCGTGGCACCAACGCTCTCACCCAGAGCTCAGCTAAAAGCACCACTTTCCAGCCCAAAACCACCCCCCACGTCATCAGTGTGTGTTGCTCCCGGAGCCAGGTGCCCCTGTGTGCCCACAACAAGCAGGCAATCAAATCAAGCCCCGACTCAAAGCCTGTTTCACCCAACAACTGCTTCCCCACCAACTCCCAAAACGCTTCTGAGAACTGAAGAACACAGAACTCCACTTCCCCAGCCAGCTTTGCACACACCAACCTGCATAATCCTCAGTTTTGAGCCTTCAGCTCCCCTCATTTCACTCCCTTATTCCCAGCCAGCCTCTTCCATCCCACTCAGAGATAACTGCATGGAGGCAGACACCCTTTCTTGGCATCCCTTATCCCCCCCAAATGCCTAATAAAGGTCATTTCCACACCCACACCCCAGCCAGAGATGGCAGGAGGCACAGGGAAGTGTGTTATGGTGAGCTCAAACCACACAGCGAGCCAGGAACAGAATGAGAAATCCACAGGATCATGAAAATAATAAAAAAGGGATTTTGAGCACTGAGGAGCCCTGGATTTAAGGGGGGAGGCCCTGGGGAAGCTGCTCCAGTACCTGTTGCAGAAATACACAGCGTTGGCCGGGTTTAATTCGATGGCTTTGCCATAAAAAGACACAGCAGCCTCGAAGTTTTCTGCCTTCATCTGCTCATTTCCTGAAACCACGGTGGAAAAACTATGGTTAGCAAGGGACAAACAGGGCCAGAGCCAAGCCAGAGGCCTGGATCCAGGTCCCACACACCCTGGGATGCAGGGAAAGGCTGACCCAGCACTTGTAGGCTGCTGTGCCAACCTCCCCACCAGTGCCATTTGCTTTGTTTCCCCATCCCAAGCACCCCCCAGGGACCAGGGAACTGAGACTCCCTCCCAGTCCCCACCAAAGCCTCGTTACCCCCCAGCCCCAGGGGAGTTACCCTCGGTTTTGAGCCTCTCAGCCTCAGCTATGTCGTCCTCGGAGGGGGTGACGGGCTCTGAGTTCGTCCTGCTGTGTTCCAGCTCCTTCCAGGGACAGGGAGAAGCTCAGATAAGGATTCCCACACCTCCCCCTTCCCAGGCACATCCGAGCCCGAAACACTCCCCTCCCACACAGCCTCCTGGAATTCCAGCAGGACTCGGTGCTGGGGCTGCAGGGGAGGCAGCTCAGCCTCTCGGGGCTCTCACTCACCTTCCCTGCAACAGCCTCGAATATTTCGGGGAGAGTCTGGGACACTGCCAGGCCCTGGTCCTCCAGGGACACCCCAAAAGCTGTCTCCAGGCACTGGATGGCCACTGCACAGGGAGAGGCAGGTCATTAGCTCTGCCCACCCCACACACTCAGCCCCGTCCCTCAGCACTGGGATTGCTCTAAAACAACTGGGGGAAAAAAAACCCAAACCCAAACCCCAAACCACACCTTTCCCACAGATCTGAGCCAGGACCTCAGAGCTGGGCACCCTTCACAGCCCAAAGCACCAGGAGCTGTCCCTTCCTGGCACCCAACCCCCAGGAATGCCCCCCCTCCCCACAGAGGTGCCCCTGCTCCTCTCACTGGCACAAATGCACAGGCCAAAGACTGAACCTTAAGCTCCTTAAGGAGACCTTTTTTAAGATCCCCTGTGCTCTCCTTCCCTCTGAAAGGGCCTGGGTAAACCCTGGGGAGCAGCGTTTGGAGGGCAGGACAGGGAAAACCCACTCTCCAAGCACAAAGCACTTCCCTGCAGCCACGAAAACCCTCCCTTTACACCTCCCCAAGAGCCTCCACCTCGTCCCAAACCAACCCTGTAAGTCTCCAGCCTGGGGTCAGGGAGGTTTTTGACCCCAGGTCCATCCCTGCCTCCGGCTAATCTGCTTTTGAAAGAGCTCAGAGAGCAGACGAGGAATCAGCACCCCTGGACACCTCTCCAGGGGACAAACGACCCCCAAATCCCCAGCAGGGTTTGGTGTCAGGAACAGCCCAGCTCAGGCAGGGGCAGGAAACAGGACAGGCACCCCCATCCCCCTGAGTTTCGGCCCCAGGCACATCCACCCACCTTCCAAACTCTCCTGGGCGTCGGGGGACATGCCCCCGCTCTGCAGCTGGCTGTGCAGGAACTGGATGATGGAGAAGGCCAGACGCCTCTGGTCTGCCATGCTGGGAGCTCTGGGGGGCTGGGCTGCACTCCTGGGGGCTCCCAAAATCACCTGGAGACGGAAGAGTCACGGCTGGAGAGAGAGCAGGAGCCGGAGCTTGGCTGCTGCTCCCCCTCAGGGTGGGTTCTGGGGGATGAGGAGGAGCCCAGGATGGATTTGGGGGGATAAGGGAGATGTTCAGGGCTGGCCAAAGATTCCAAGGAACTCCATTAAACTCTGCTGCCACCACGGCCCTCCCCTTCAGGAGCTCTCCAGGCCTGGATTCACCCCCAGCCCTGCCCAGCGACACACTCAAAGGCCCTGCAGGGCTCTGAGGCACCGAACAGCAGCACACACAACCCCAGACTCCACCACCACAAACTCCCACTTCTCTGCTCCCAGAGCTCAATCGGCCCTGAAACCAAAGCCAGGGGCTGAGGGGCTGTGTCCCTGCGAGCACAGCCGGGGGACAGGGCTGCCAGAGAAAGGCAGGGAGCACCCAAAGCAGAGAGATCCCCCAAAAAAGCACATCCCGGGGCCGGGAATTCCCAGGGATCCCAAGGCAGGTGCTGAAGGACACGGGATGGATGCAGCTCCCGCCGCCGAGCTCGGCCCCCCCCCGAGCCAGAACTGGGTTTGTGGCACAGCCAGGGGCGCTTAACCGAGACGCTAAACTGGTCTGAGGAGAGTCCGGCACGGCTAAGCCGGGCCCGGCCCACCGGGAGGCACCGCAGCAGCACCGGGCCCGGCACCGAGACCCCCAGACCCCGCCGGGACCGCCCGGTAATCCCGGCCCGCTGCCCACCCAGGGCCGGAGCGAGCGGTTCCCCGCGGGGAGCACAGCCCGGCGCGGGGCGGAGGGTCCCGGTGGGGAGGGGCAGCCCGGTCTCAGTCCCGGTCCCTCCCGCGCCCCGCTCCCGGTTCCCCGGTAACCCCCCGGTGTCGCTGCCGCTGGCGCCGGCGGGCCGGGCGCGGGGGGGGCGCGGTGCCGGGCGCTGCCGGGGCCGTGTCGCGGTGTGTCGCGGTGTGTCGCGGTGTGTCGCGATGTGCCCCGGTCCCGCTCCCGGTCCCGCCCCGCTCACCGGACGGCCCCGACACTCGCCTGGGCCGGGCGCGCTCACGCACTGCGCACGCGCCGGCCCCGCCGCGCGCACGCGCCGCGATAGCCCCGCCCACTCCCTTCGACGGCTGGAAAAGGGGGCGGGGCTTCGCGCTCCGCGCCCCGCCCCGCCCCGGCGGTACCATAGAGACGGGGCGCTGCCATGGCGACCGGGCGGGAGCGTTGCCATGGGGACGGGCGGGCGGGACCCCGGGGATGCTCGGCGCCCGCTCCGGGCCCCGCTCCGGGCCGGCTCTGAGGGTGGCGGCGGGGACTCCCCGCCTTTTTCGCCCTGCCCGCGGCGCGCGGGGAGGGCGGGAGCGGCGCGGTCCTCCACGCTCCCACAATGCCCCGCTGTCCCCGCCCGCCTCCCCGCGCGGGGCACATGCTCGGTGCGTGGCGCCCGCCCGGCCTGTCCCCGGCCCGCCAGCCCCCGGCCAGCACCCCCGGCCCCGCCAGCACTCCCCGGCCCCGCCGGCATGGCCCCCACAGGTACCGCCGGCCGCGGGGGCTGCGGGCGGCGAGGCGAGGCGAGGGCGCGGCAGGGGGTGAGGGCAGAGGGATGGGGCGGGAGGAGGGGGCCCGGGGCACCCCCTCGGGGCGGCCGTGGGGTTCTGCTGCCCCCCCCCGAGCCACCTCCGTGCCCCGCGGGCCTTGTCCCCGCGCGGGGCACGGGCAGTGCCGGGACGCGGAGGAACTGCCCGCTCCCGGAGCCCGTCCCTGCCGGGCCGATCCCCGAGTGCTTTCGCCGAGCCGCGGCCCCGCAGCCGCATTTCCAGTCCGGCCCGCGTTCAGGGAGCGTCTCCCGGCCCCTCTTCCCCCCTCTGCCCAGGGAATGTCGTGGACAGCCAGGCGCCCCGGCTCGTGGCCAACCAGCTGCGCTGGGACCTGACGGCCGAGCAGATCGAGGCCATGGCCGCAGAGCTCACCGAGAGCACCAAGCTCGTGTACGACCGGGTGGGCAGCCAGGAGAGGGGCGAGGTGTCCTACGAGAACACCCTGAAGGCCCTGGCGGACGTGGAGGTGGAATACACAGGTGGGAGCTGCGAGGGAGAGATAGTGGAGGTTGTGTCCCTGTCCGTGTCCCGGGATGAGCTTTAAGGTCCCTTCCAGCCCAGACCACCCCAGGATTCCACGATTCTGTGTTACTAAGGGGTTTTTTTGGTGGTTTCACCTCCTGCCCTCCCCCCTTGGCTCCCAGCAGCGTGTTGGTGGTTTTTCCCCAGTTAATGTTTATATGAGGAGGGACAAGTTCAAAGAGCAAGATTTGAAAGGGAGGAGCAAACGAAGCCAAGGACACCCCTTTGGCAGCGGGAGGAGCAGCCACAGTCCCAAGGCTGTCCCCGCTTTCATGTGTCAGGGAGCATCAGTGGCAACAAACAGCAGGAAAGGTCGAAGAAATCATCATCTCCTTCCTCATTTTTTCCCTAAGCCAGTGGATAAAAGTATTTCTGTGTGCCTGCTGGAATTTTTGGGAAGGTAACGTGTCCTGATGGCACCGTGGCACCAAAGTGATGCAGTTTTGGTTATTCTGCCTGGCTGGTTATTCACAGAGTGACAATCCAGGCAGCCCCTCCAGGTCCCTGTCCCAATCCCGATCCCTGTCACACCTGCCTGGAACAGGCACCACCCTGCAAGCCTTGTCTTCCTCCTCTCCCAGCCCTTTTTCCTAAAATAAGGGGGAAAACCCCTTAGCAAGCAGGAGGAGTGTTGACTTCAGCACCTCTGTCAGCACTTCCCTGCTCCCCTTCTGCTGGAGGAGAGTCCGGGAGCCTGGAGAGCACCTGGAGTGCTGGTACTGGAGGCTCTGTGGGAATGTCCTCCCTGTTTTCCCTTCTCCAGTGGGAATGTCCTCCCTGTTTTCCCTTCTCCAGCGGGGATGCATCAGGACAGGGCGCACCTGGGGCCTGCTGGCTCTTGGGGAGCACCTGTGTCCCACTTTTAGCTTCAAGGGAGGCACACAGGGAATATTCCATCACGGAATCCTGGAATATCCGGAGCTGGAAGGGACCGGCGAGTCCAACCCCGGGCCCTGCACGGGACACCCCACAAGTCCTGTGGTGCCACAGCTGGGGCAGGAGGGGTTGGGGTCTCACAGGCACGAAACTCCTGTGAGTTCTGGGGGAAGGGTGGGCTGTGGGGGGAGCCCAGGGGAGGGATGTGCCCGGCACGAGGCAGCCGCTCTTCCCTCGAGCGGGTGGTGGGTCGGTCCCTGGGCTGCCAGGCTGGCTCTGCGTGGGCACTGCCATGCCCAGCAGCCCTGGCACGTGGAGCCACGGTCCCTGTTCCCCGGCAGTGCGCCGGAACATGCTGGATTTCCCCCAGCACGTGTCCCCCTGCAAGGCCATCCGCGCCGCCAGCACCGAGGCCGACAAGAAGCTCTCCGAGTTCGACGTGGAGATGAGCATGAGGCAGGACGTGTACCAGAGGATTGTCTGGCTCCAGGTGTGTGCCCAGCAGGGCAGGTGATGCCCCAAGAAACGCTGTGATACAGCAGGAAAGCCTGGCAGGAACCAGTGCACCAAGCCAGAGCCTTCCCTGAGGGTGTTCCCATAACCCAGAGCTCCCACCAGAGAGCTGCTCCCTGCAGCAGCTGGGCCTGCAGCTCCCCGAGCTCACGACACTGTTTTCCAGGAGAAAGCAGAGAGTGCTTCCCTGAAACCCGAGGCAAAGAGGTACCTGGAGAGGCTGATCAAGCTGGGAAAGAGGAACGGGCTCCATCTGCCCGAGGAGACACAGGAGGTGAGCTCACAGAATTCCGGGGTGGTTTGGGTTGGACAGAAGCTCATCCCATCCCTTTCCATCCCCCTGCCATGGGCAGGGACACCTTCCACTATCCCAGGTTGCTCCAAGCCCTGTCCAGCCTGGCCCTGGAAGTAGCACCTGGTTGCCACAGGCAAAGGGCTGGAGGGAGGGGATGGAGCTGCTCAGGGTCTCCCTCTCTTACCACGCACCAGTGAAGGAGCTCAAATCTGGGTTAAAAACAGACGAGAAGGTGAAAAATAAGGGTAGAGGGGGTTGTTGCTGAAACACCTGCAGCTGCTGAGCTGGACCTTGCTGAGGTGGCTGGTTCCCAGCAGGTGTGATCCCAGGGAGCCTGTTCCAGGTGCTGGCACACCGTTAATTGTGCAGTGTTGGGGCTGAGTCAGAGCCAAATTCAGACTCACTGCTGGGCAGCTCAGCAGGGCACAGCCTGGCTTCCCCCCTGGCGCTGACTCTGCTCTGTTTATCTGCGTTTTAAAGAAAATCAAAGCTATTAAGAAAAAGCTGAGTGTCCTGTGCATTGACTTCAACAAGAACCTCAATGAAGACACCACCTTCCTGCCCTTCTCCAAGGAGGAATTGGGTATGGAGAGCTCTGTGCTGCCGTGGCCATGATTCCTGGCTCCCTCTTCCTATGCCCCTTCCCAGAGCTGGAGTTCCTAGAGCTGGGGGATCCTGGGCTCTCCCTCAGCCCTGTCTGCTCTTTTCACAGGGGGGCTCCCTGAGGATTTCCTGAACTCCCTGGAGAAGACAGAGGATGGAAAGCTGAAGGTCACCTTGAAATACCCACACTACTTCCCTCTGCTGAAGAAGTGCTACGTGCCCGAGACGAGGAGGAAGGTGGAGGAGATGTTCAACTCCAGGTGCAAAGAGGTAGGTGGGGCAGATGGGATGCCAGGACAACGGTGAGGGGGAATCTCCCCTGGGATTTGTGCTCCTTCCCTCAGGAGAGCTCCACCTGGATGCTCCACTCCCTCTGTCTCTGCCCTGCAGGAGAACTGCCTGATCCTGAAGGAGCTGGTGGATTTACGGGCTCAGAAGGCCAGTCTGCTGGGCTTCAGCACCCACGCGGACTTTGTGCTGGAGATGAACATGGCCAAGAGCAGCGCGACGGTGGCCACGTTCCTGGGTACGCCCCGGGGCACAGCGGGGGCCTCCTGGGCCGGGTGTGCTCCCCTGAGCACGGGTGCCATCCCTGCCTGCTGTGCCTCTCCCAGATGAGCTGGCCCAGAAGCTGAAGCCGCTCGGGGAGAAGGAGCGGGCCGTGATCCTGGACCTGAAGAAGAAGGAGTGCGAGAAGCGCGGGCTGGAGTTCGACAACCGCATCAACGCCTGGGACATGCGCTACTACATGAACCAGGTGGAGGAGACCAAGTACAGCGTGGACCAGAACCTGCTGAAGGAGTATTTCCCCATGCAGGTGGTCACCAAGGGCCTCCTGGCCATCTACCAGGAGCTGCTGGGGCTCACCTTCCACCTGGAGGAGAAGGCGCCGGTGTGGCACGAGGACGTGCAGCTCTACACGGTGAAGGACACGTCCTCTGGAGAGACCATCGGCAAGTTCTACCTGGACCTGTACCCACGGTGAGGCCTCGGGCAAGGGGGAACAGGGGAGCAGGGCTGGGCTGGGCAGCGGAGCCCGAGGAAGAGCAGGGTCCTGCTCCCGGGGTTGTGCTCCATCCCAGGAGCACGGGGTGGGTCTCCAGGGCTCCTGCTCCAGGCGGGAGCGTGGCTGGGGAGGCCGTGGCTGTGTCTGGCCGTGGGGGGGATCCCTGTGAGTGTCCTGTCCCTGTCCCAGGGAAGGGAAGTACGGGCACGCCGCCTGCTTTGGCCTGCAGCCCGGCTGCCTCCTGCCCGACTCCAGCCGGCAGATCTCGGTGGCCGCCATGGTGGCCAATTTCACCAAGCCCACGCCGGACGCGCCTTCCCTGCTGCAGCACGACGAGGTGGAGACCTACTTCCACGAGTTTGGGCACGTCATGCACCAGCTGTGCTCCCAGGTGAGGCCTCCCCACGCCACCACGGGCCGGGACCTTTGCCCCGTCCCGCTCCGCCGTCCCTGAGCTCGCCGCGTCTCCCAGGCGGAGTTTGCCATGTTCAGCGGGACGCACGTGGAGAGGGACTTCGTGGAGGCCCCGTCCCAGATGCTGGAGAACTGGGTGTGGGAGAAGGAGCCGCTGCTGCGCATGTCCAGGCACTACAAAACGGGCAGCCCCATCCCGGATGAGCTGCTGGAGAAGCTCATTAAATCCCGGCAGGCAAACACGGGTGGGTCCCCGCCGAGGGGGCTGGGTGCTCCCTGAGGAGCAGGGCTTTGCCTGGCTCCCCATGCTGCTGGAGGGTCCGAGGGGACTGGGGGAAGGAGCCACACCTGCCTGGTGGTCACCTGGGAAGGGCAAGGGTGGCGTGGCATGAAGCGGGCTGGGAGGTGGCACAGTGACAAGAGGTGCCAGGCCCCCAGCCTGCCCTGCTGCCACTGGCCTCGGTGACACTCCTGCAGGCAGGATTCTGGTCCTGCCTGCCAGCAGGAGCTCAGTTTGCCACCTCCTCCTCCTCCTCCTCCTTTTGGGAACAGGGCTCTTCAACCTGCGCCAGATCGTCCTGGCCAAGGTGGACCAGGCGCTGCACACCCAGACCAAGGCTGACCCCGTGGAGGTGTTTGCCCAGCTGTGTGAAGAGGTGCTGGGTGTCCCTGCCACCCCAGGTATGGGTGTCCCACCCTCCAGGCCTGGCCTGCCCCCTTGGCCCAGCAGGCTCTTCCCGGGCTGGCTCAGTGGGGACAGTTTGTGTTGGCTCCGGGGAAAGCAGAGAAGGGACTGGAAGGTGCTTCCCTGCGTGCTCTGGGGTTGTGACCAGCTGAGGCAGTGCCTGCTGTGACACAGTGACAGCGGGGTGGGGGGGTTTCCATGCTGTGAATTCCCCATAACCCCCCTCCCTTCCCCGCCCCGCAGGGACGAACATGCCGGCCACCTTCGGCCACCTGGCCGGGGGCTACGACGCGCAGTACTACGGCTACCTCTGGAGCGAGGTGTTCTCCATGGACATGTTCCACACCCGCTTCAAGCAGGAGGGCATCATGAACTGCAAGGTAGGGAGAGCACCCCGGGGGCGGCCGGGGCGGGCGAGGGCGGGCGTCCCTCACGGGCCCCGCCTCTGCTCGCAGGTGGGGATGGACTACAGGAACTGCATCCTGCATCCCGGCGGCTCCGTGGACGCCTCCGACATGCTGAGGAAGTTCCTGGGCCGGGAGCCCAAGCAGGACGCCTTCCTGGCCAGTAAAGGACTGAAGGTGGAGAGCAGCTCGCTGCCCTCGGGCTGCTGAGGCCCCCTGTGCAGTGCAGCCCCCACCCACGCCCCTGCCCTCACCTGGGACCTGCCACCAAACACCCCCTGGGCCACCCCTGCCTGCAGCTGCCCCTCCAGGGTCCCGCCCTGAGCCCACCCTGGGCTCTGGGCTCTGCAGTGACAGGGAGGTGACCTGCCCTTGTCACCCCCACTGGGGACGGGGCCGTGGGTCACCCACGCCGATTGGCTGGACTTTGAACCTGATTCCTGCACGAGGGGGAGTTTCAGCCTCACTGAGAGCCGGGGAAGAGGGGGAGAGGAGTTCCCAAGCTTGGGTCACTGTTTTTAAATCCCGTCTTTTTAAGAGAGCAGAATTCCCCCCCTGTTGTTGTTGTTTCCCCTGGGCTTGGTTTGTGCCCCAGGACAGATGGAACTGTCCTGAGCACCAAACAAGGGCAGCGAGCCCCGCTCTCCCCATCTTTGGGCAGCTGTTGGCTGTGGAATAAGGATGGGGAGATCCCAGAGCTTAAAACCCAAGGAAGGACATCCTGCCCTGAACCCCTCGGCCCTTCCTGCCTGGGAGGGGGTGGCTGGTGCTGGTGTTCCCAGGGCAGGGTTTGGGGGGCATGGCTGGGCCCCCGGTGCTGTCAGGTACCTGGAGGGGGGCTGTACCTTCCCCCAGGCTGTGCTGGGGCTGCCAGGGCCATTCCAGGGCCATCCCAGGGCAGCCGGTGCCTGCCACGCTCGGGCTGTGGGGGAGGGTGTTGCTGTTGCTGCCAGGGCGGGACAGGGGAGGGCCGTGTTTATGACCACAAAAACAAGCCGACAGCTTCAAACAACACGGATGCCGGGATAAAAATACCCCGCGGGCTCCGTGCCAGGCCTGGGGCTGCCGCGGGCAGGGACAGCGGCCTCGGGATCAGCCAGGCTGTGCCACCTGTCCCCCGGCTGTCCCCGTGTCCCGGAGGACCCTCGGGGTGTGGTGGCACAAGGCCCCGTGCCAGGGCAGGGCCTGGTGGAGCCCTGACCCCGAGGGCAGAGGCCGGGCCGGGGTTTGCTCAGGGAGGAATCACGTGCCAGCTGGGAGAGGTTTCCAGCCGCTTCCTCGGGAGCTGAGGAGCTCCAAGGAGGGCTGGGCTTTGTGGGGTCCCCCCCTGCCGTGGTTTGAGGGCACGAATGAGAACCGAGTGCCCAAACTCACACCCGCCACCCCATCCCCCTGCCTGGGAGCTGCTGTGTCCCCCCCAGCCAGGCTGGCCCCTGTTCCCTCTCCTCTGGCCTTTGTCACCAGAGGGCTCACCCCAAGTGCAGACAAAGTCGTTGCTGTCACCTCCCTCCCCCAGACCCTGCTGGTGACGCCCCCCTCGCTGGTCCCCTCTGGTGCTGACACGTGGGTGAGTCCCTGAACAGGGAAGTGGCTCCTTGGTGCTTTCTGGGGCCACACCGAGCATCTTGTCCTTGTCCCCTCCCGTGTTTTAGGCTTAGGCGGGTGGTCCCAGCCCCCCCCCCCCGAGGCTGTGGGTGATTTTAGTGTCATGTTTTACTGAGCTTTCAGCGTTTTCTTCCAGACTCTTCTCTCAAGAGAGAGAGAACTGAAGCTGAGCAGGGAAACCATGCACTTTCCTTCCTCCTTCCCAGCCCACAGGTCCCTCTGTCCCCTCTCCAGTGTCCCCACTGCTGGTGGGGCCGGAGGCAGAGCGGGGTGACCTCGTGCCCCTCCTGGTGACCCCCCAGGAGCAGCACCAGGACACGGCTCCTCGGAGCTGCACCTCCCCACCCCACCCCATCCCAGGCTGGCAGGGAAGAGAGCTCCCTTTTGGGTTTGGATTTCGTGGTTTTTTTTTTCTTCCTGTTAAGGTTTTTAAGGGCAGGCTGGTGTGTGTGTGCCGTTGGTCCCGGTCACGTCCCCACCCCGCTTGTCTCCATGACTGGATTTTAGATGGTTCCCAGCACTAATAAAGGTTTTCCTCCGCCGATGTTTGCCTGGCTCGGGTCCTGCCGAGGGAGCTGCTCCTCTGGGTGGGGGGGACTCGGCCCCCCCCGGGGTGTCAGGGGCACAGCCACCCCCCCAGCAGCGCTGCAGCAGCCGGCACAGGGGGTCCTGTCCCAGGAACAGGGGCACGGAGTGGCAGGCGCGGGGCGGGAGCCTGTGGGGTGTGAAACCCTGGGGAGGGACAGGCAGTGACCCCCCCCCGGTGTGTGCATCATCCCCCCCATGTCCCCCCGTGCCCCCTGCCAGCCCCACACCTGGGTGAAGAAGGGGTGGTCCAGCACGTCCTGCAGGCTGGGCCGTGCTGCGGGGTCGGGGTCCAGCATGAGGGCGAGGAGGGCGCGGGCCTGGGGGGAGAGCTGGGGGGGCAGCGGGTACCGAGCCCCCCGGATGTGCTGGTACAGCTCCCACCGCTGGCACCCCTTGAACGGGGGGCGGCCGCTCAGGGCCGTGTACCTAGGGGGGGTGCAGCTGCTCCAGGGGGGTCCAGGAGCATCCCCTGTCCTCCCTCCAGCCCCCTCCATCCTCCCTCCAGCCCCCTCCATCCTCCCTCGAGTCCCCCCTTACAGGGCACAGCCCAGGGCCCAGATGTCCGAGGCCACCCCGTGTCCCCTGCGGTCCAGCACCTCCGGGGCCAGGTAACTGGGGGTCCCACAGAGCGCCCTGGGTGGGGACAGATGGCATGAAGGCCTGTCCAGGAGCACCCCGGGGATAGGGGCAGGGTGAGCCCCCCCCTCCCCTCAGCTCACCCCCAGCGCCGCCCGGCCGGAGCCGCCCCCCGCGCCAGCCCCAGGTCCCCGATCTTCACCTGCATCCTCCCCGTCACCAAGAAGTTGCCTGTGGAGGTGGATGAGCGGTGTGGGGCTGGTGTGGGGCACCCCAGGCACCCCTCAGGTCACCCCATTTACCCCACGCACTCAGCTTGAGGTCCCGGTGCACGAGGCCCCGTCCGTGCAGGTAGCGCAGCCCTGAGATCACCTGGCGCAGGTAAAACCGCACCTCCGGCTCCTGCAGCCGGCCCCGGGCACGCAGGATGTCAGCCAGGGACTGGGGACAGAGAAGGGAGGCACTGGGACAGGCGAGGAGGCACTGGGAGAGAAGGGAAAGGGACTGGGATAGAGCGAGGAGGGATTGGGGGCAGAGCGAGGGGCCACGCTGGGCCCTGCTGAAGCCCTGGCCTGGGGATGTGGGTGCATTGCTTGGTTTGGGGTGCAGGTGCCCAGTTTGGGGGTTCAGGTGCCCGGTTTTGGGGTTCAGGTGCCCGGTTTCGGGGTGCAGGTGCCCACTCACCCCGCGGCTGCAGAGCTCCAGCAGCAGGTAGAGGCGGCCGCGGTCGCTGAAGTGCCTGTGCAGGCGCACGATGTGCCGGTGGCTCAGGTGTCGGTGCAGCTCCTGCTCCCGCTCCACCTGCAGCCCCACGAGCCCGGCAGACCCCCGGGGAACCCTCGGGATGGGGCACGGGCAGGGCTGGGGTCGTCCCCGTGGGTTTTACCCCCCATCCCTGGGGACTCCCCGCCCCAGACTCACCCTCTCCCCGCCGCCCAGCGCAGCCAGCCGGGCTCGAGGGATGACCTTCAGTGCGTAGAGCCGGCCACTGCTCACCTCTGTCACCTCGTAGCAGCGCCCGAAAGTGCCCTGAGAGGGTGTCCGTGTCTCCCCCCTGCCCCAGCGGCCCCTTCCCCAGAGGGGATGTGGGGAGTCCCCCTCAGAGCAGGACGCCTCGGGGACCCCCTGCAGCCCTGGGGGTGCGGGTGTGGGGCACCCCCGAGGTGCCCAGCGGGGAAGGGGTGCTGGCTGGGGTGAGGGGCTGTTCAGGGGTGCAGGGAGGGGGATTTACCTCTCCCAGGAGCCGTCCCCGCTTGTAGATCGTCCCACTGCCTGCGTCCCCAATGTACCAGCCGAGGGGCTCATCCCCTGCGTGCCCCAGGACCATCCTGCCCGCTCTGCTCTGCAGTGGGGACACCCCAGGGGACACCCCCACCCGACACTGTAACCCCTTCAGCTCCGGGATGCCCGTGGGACCCCAGGGTGCTGGGTGACCCCCTCGCACCCAGCCCCCAGCGCTCTGGCACTCAAAGTCCCCCAGAAGACCTCGATCACGAAGGAGGGACCCCCGGTGGGATCAACCCTCCCCGGGATGCCCAGAACCGGGGGGTCCCGGATCAGGATACGACCTTGTACGGGGGTCCTGGTGCCTCTTCCCTTCTGCTGCTGGGGCCGGTGGGGTCCCGGGGAGTGCAGGTGCTGCCAAGCAGCAGCTCCGCCCCCCCGGAACGCCACCAGCCCCCCCTCCCCGACCGCCGCAGCTCCGGGCCCCCAAGGGTTAACGGGCGGCCGGGGAGGGCTGGGCGCACCTTTGGGGCTGGATATTAATAACGCGGCGGGGAGGGACGGGAGGCGAACCGGGCGGGGGGGGGGAAGCCTCGCCCGGCCCCCCCGGAGCTGCGCAGGCGATGCCCGATCGTGCCGGGTCCCCCCCTCTCGCCGCCGCCGGGACGCCGAGCCGGGACGGAGCCGCCGGGACGCCGCGGACGAGGGGCTGCATGGCCGGGGGGGGCTGTGGGGGCCGCCCCGTCCTCCGCGGGGGACCCCTCGGAGCTGGGTAAGGTCCTGATTTCTGCTCAACCCCCTCGCGGGAACCCGCAACCCGCACCCCGCGCGCCCCGGGGCTCCTGCGGGGAAACTGAGGCACGCGGTGCCCCCCGCGCTGCCGGCGGGGTCTGGGCATCACCCGACCCTCGGCGGGCTCCGGACCCACCAGCACCCACCCCGGAGCGGCGGCACCGCGACCCCCCGTCCCCTTCCCTGCCCCGCCGGGGGCACCCGGACCCCGGGACTGAGGGCGGCACTCGCGACCCTCCCGGTCCCCGTGGGAACTGCGCGGCGGGAGGGAACCGGCTCGGCCGGGGGATTCCCCGACACGGGGCTGGGACCCCGGAACGCCTCCTGTACCCGCCGGAACCCCCCCTGCACCCCTTTGCACCCCCGGCGCCTCCCGCACCCCTTTGCACCCCCCGCCCCTCCTGGCTGGGCGCTTTGGGGGGCTCCGGGATCGGGCACTTTGGGCCGTGGGGGGGGCCCCCGCTGCCCCCCACCCTGCTCGCCCCACGGCGGGGCCGGATCCGGATCGGGGAGCGGCGCGGAGCCCCAACCGTGCAGGTCTGGTCCTGTCCCGGCAGGCAGCGATCCCGGCCCGGCGCCCGCCGCGGGGCCCTGGGGGTGGCGGGGCCGTCGCCCGTCCCGGTGCCGGGTGGGCACGTGTTTGGGACACGGCGTCACCCACTCGGTGTCACCCACTCGGTGTCACACAGCCGGTGTCGCCCACCCACCTGACCCCACGGGCAGCACCGGACCCCCCCTCCCTGCCCTGGGGACCCTCCCGCGGGGGCTGCTCTTGCCGTCTCTCCTCCTTCCTCCTCACTGCGGTCCCCGTGGGGGGGCTCGGCAGTGACCCTGCCCTGGTGGCGATGGGGGGTGTGGGGACACCCCCCGGTCCCTGGGGACGGGGGGCTCAGGGCTCTGTGCTCCGCAGGTGCCGGCGGCCGTGGCGGTTCCTGCTCCTGGCCTGGCTCAGCCTGGTTGGCACGGCACAGGTGAGGGGTTTGGGGTGCGTGGCAGCACCCCTGGGCTGCCTGACCCCCACCCTCTGCTGATTGTCACCTCCCTCACGCAGGACCCAGCCCTGGGCACACCAGCGAGGGTCCCCGAGCCCCCGGCCCCTGCTCGGCCCCGCCGGCAGCTGGCCCGGGGGACCTGGGTGTCCTGGGGCCCCTGGAGCTCCTGCTCCAGCTCCTGCGGGGACGGGGTCGCCCTCCGCACCCGGAGGTGCCAGCGGTGAGTGGGGCACGGGGATCCCATCCCGTGGCAGGACCCAAACCCCACACGGGGCACCCGAATCCCTTGGCACGGCTCTGCCACCACCTCCCACGTGTCTCTGGGGGCCCTCAGCACCACGTGGGGGGACCTGGAGCCTGGTGGCTCCACCATGGGGTGCAGCTCCAGGGGGATGAGGGACATCGTGGGACATCGGGGTCCCCTCTCCTGCTGCCCCGTGGGGACGTGTCACTGCCAGCCCCGTGGTGGCATCGCAGCCCTGGAGATGGGGGTTCCCGTGGGGGCTGTGGGGCACAGGCAGGGCTGCTCGGGGGTCCCTACCCCGGCCCCACTGCGCTGACGCTGTGACCGCAGGACCCCCGGGGAGGAGCCGTGCGCAGGGGACCCGCGCCAGTACCGGCTCTGCCAGCTCCAGGTGAGCACTGGGAGGGCCGGGCACTGACGTGGCTGGTGCCAGTTGCCATCCCAGCCCATGGGCTCCATCCTGCCGCTCCCACAGGGCTGTCCCAGCGGCTCCGTGCCCTTCCGGGCCATGCAGTGCTCCCTCTACGACAACAAGCCCGTCCTGGGCACCTCCGCCCGGTACCGCTGGGTGCCCTTCCACGGAGGTGAGTCCCGGGGTGGGGACGGTGTCACGGGGCTGACGGGGAGGCCACGGTCACCCCGGTGTCACCCCCACCCCTTCTCACCCCAATCCATCAGCTCCCAACCTCTGCGACCTCAACTGCCTGGCCGAGGGGCACAACTTCTACTACAGCTTCGGGCGGGTGCTGGACGGGACCCGCTGTGGCCCCAGCTCCCCGGACCTGTGTGTTGGTGGGCGCTGCCTGGTGGGTGTGCAGGGTTGGGACCCCCTGGGACCCCCCTGAGACCCCTCAGCCCTCACCCCCCATGCTGAGGCAGCGTCTGGGCTCCCACAGAGCGTGGGCTGTGATGGGATCCTGGGCTCGGGCCCTCGCCCCGACTCCTGCGGCCACTGCGGCAGCGGCTCCTGCATCTTCGTGCACCGGCTGTTCCAGGGCTCGGACCTCTCCTCCGGTGAATGAACCATTGCCCCGGCCCCCTCCATGGGTGAATGCTTTGGCTCTTGGCTCCTCTGTCCTCCCGTCCCCTGTCTGTGTCCCCAAGGCATCGCCTGGGTCCCCTGTCACCCTGTCCCTCTCCATCTCCCCTGTCCACCAGGGCATCATCCCTGATCCCTCCCTGTCCCCCACACTCAGGGACCAGCCCTCTCACCGTGGTGATTTGGCCTCATTGCAGAGGGTGTTGCTCCTCTGGGGTGGGTGGGGGTCTCTGGGGCATCCATGTGGTCTGTGGGGTCCCCAGGGGTGCTCAAGTGTCCCTGGGAGTACCCATAGTCCCTGTGTCCTGCTGGGCAGGTTGTGGGGACAGTGATTCCTGAGGGAGCAAACAGCCCTGACTGGCAGGGCCCAGGGCCATCGTGGGGCTCCCCGATGTCCCATCACGTGGGGCCCAGCTGGGTTGATGCCCCAGACCCAGATCACCTCTGTGCCCCATCCCCTCGTGCCCCATCCCCCCAGGATGTCCCCTCGGGCCCTGCCCTGGCTCTGCCCTGACTCTGTCCCCCACCCCGACAGGACATTTTGGGTACGTGAATGTGACCAAGATCCCAGCTGGGGCCACCCACATCAAAGTGATGGACAAGAGCCGCAACTACCTGGGTAGGACATGAACTGCCTTCATCCCAGTGAGCCCCAGTCCATCCCAGCCGGTCCTGGCCAGTGCCAGCTGCGGGTCTGGGCAGGGCAGGGCAGGGGTGGCCGTGCCATTCCATGCCGTGTTGTCCCTGGTTGTCCCGTGTTGTCCCACGGCGTGCCGTGCCGCTCCCTCCCTCAGATGCTGTTTTGAGCATCCCGGGGTCAGTGAACTCGCAAGTGCTCGGGGCAATTTTCCAGAGGCTGCTGCTGTGGGTTTTGGGAAGGGCTGAGCTGGAGCGGGGCCAGACCGGCCACTGCACACCAGGACCGGGACCCCGCTCCCCCAGCTCCCGTCCTCGATGCAGCTGGAGCCCCGTTCCCCACTGGGACCAGGGTCTGGGGGCTTGGTGGAGGAGGGGGGGGTTGCACACCGGGGTTTGGCTCTGGCTTGGGCCCGAAGCCAAGATCTTACAAGAACGTAGATCCCCCGGAGCCTCGAGCGCGGCTCTCCCGGTCCACGCTGCCCTCCCTGCGCTGGGAGAGGCCTCCGGTGGGGAGCGGGGCGGGGGGTCCGGGGGGCTGTGCGGTGCTGGGCCCCGGACCCGCTGGCTCCCGCAGCGCTGATGACGAGCGACGGGCGCTACGTGCTCAACGGGGACTGGGCCATCGCCTGGCCGGGGCCCTACGAGGCCGCCGGCACCCGCCTCACCTACACCCGCGCCCCCGACGGCACCGAGAGCCTGGAGGCGCCCGGGCCCACCGACCAGGACCTGCACGTGATGGTGAGGGCGAGGGGGGCACACACGGGGACAAGGGGCAGCCACCCCCAGCCCCCAACTCAGCCCTGCCCCTGCCCCCCAGGTCCTGCTGCAGGAGCCCAACCCCGGCATCGAGTACGAGTTCTGGCTGCCCCGTGGGCACCCCCAGCCCGGCCATGGGGACACCAGCCCCCTGCGGCAGCCCCAGCCCCGGGGGGCCGGCAGCCCCCCGCCCCAGGAGCCCCCGCTCACCCCGGCCCCTGCACTGCCCCCCCAGCCCGGGGGCTCTGCCACGGAGCAACCACTGAGGAGCCCCCCCAGCTGGAGCAGGGATAGGGGTGCTGCAGGTACCTGTTCCCCTCGGGGGTCCCCACAGCCCCCCAAACCCCTGGACTTGCTGCTGGGAGTAGGGGAAGGTCAGGGGTAGAAATGAGATGGAGGCCCTAAAATGGGCCCTAAAACCCCCCTCCAGAACCCTCAGGAGCCTGGTGTGTCCCTCTCTGGAGTCTGGGCCCTCAATGGGCCCTGCCAGGGCTGCGGGGACGGGGGTTTTGGGGGGTCAGGAGTCCCCTCCGCCCCCTAAATTGCTGCAGCTTTGTCCCCGCAGGGCGATGCGGGAGGTGCCGCCCGGCCAAGGGACGTTCCCAGCGCATCCGGCACTTCTGCCAGAGCGACTTCGGTGAGCGCCGGGGCGGGAGGGGCCCGGGAGGATGTCGGGGGCGGGACAGGGCTCAGGGCAACGCCAGGGACAATGCCAGGGGTGGGAAGGGGCTCAG